AGGGAAGAGGGGGGGGGGGGGGGGGGGGGGGGGGGGGCACCGTGGAATCATCGAGGAACGGCGGGGGTGCGAGAGGTAAGATCGATTGATCACACGGCGTGCTTGCCGACGAGAGAACGGTTGCTAAGCGTTTCCTACCGACTAAAGGGGCGTTCGCTTGAGAGCAGCCGTGGGAGGAGGAGGGGGCAGCTAAGTGGGGTTGCAGCTGTTGTAAACTAGGCCAGAAAGCGGGAATGTGGCATACGCTTCTCCTGCATAAGTTATTCAACCGCATCATGTACGATGTACGATTCGATGTCAGCGACGGTTGAAGAGTCCAGTCTTGTTGAATACAATACAAAGCACACGGGCAGGACACAAGAAACCATCGTGCTCGATGATGATTTCTCGTCCACCATGATTTCTAATCTCCCGCTCGTGTGGTGTGTATTCAACAGGACTGGACTCTCCAGCCGTAGGTTCGCTGACATCGATTCGTCCATGATGCGTTTGAACAAAACGAACATATTCTTGTTGGGGTTCTCTCTGAAAACGAAGTTTGGTCCACGCTCATACAGCAGCTGTGGGTAGTGAAGCTTGAAGGGAGGTACACTGGAAAGACGTTCAGTACAATACTGAGATCGCAGAAACGATGAACGTTCTCAGAAAAATCGGTAGACATGGACACCATCGGTGAGCACGGGCGTCAGAATCCGGCCGTATATGTATCTGTACCATTTCGCCTGTTTTGGTGCTTCGGGACAACTTTAGCTGGCGGAAGCGAGTATTTTCTCACGCTTCCTTCTCAGGGGCGCGCTTGGGGGTATCTCGTTGGTACATTACCACGCACGCTCGAGGACCACCGGCCATCCGTGGCGCGTGTGCTGGACGCCCAAAGTTGAAAAAAATGGATCTATACCCCGGCGACACGTTCCGCGCGAAGAAAGCCTTCGCAAGAAATACAAAAAAAATATTACTATAAAAAATAGGAAGGCTTTTGATTCCTGCGCAACGCACACAAGTCCCACAGACCGTTAGCAACACGAATACACAGGAGTGATGAAACACGGAGGATTAAGCGAAGCCGCTACCCAAAAAGCACTCACTCACACACACGGCCAAAAATACCCCGCACATGATGCTAATTCCAGGCAAACCCTGCAGGTTGTACCTCTACGCAAACCCGGCACTACCGAACGTCATGACGTTGAGATGCAGCGATGCGACCGCGATGGCATTGGTCATATCCCCTTGCGTCGCCGCCGGGAGCCTTGAAAGTAAGTACCATGTCCATAAATGTTTCTCAAACTTTGCGATCAACCTCATATTGTATTTCCTACAAGCCCTGCGACAACGCGAATTTAAATCCTTGCGATCACCCTCACAAGTTTCTAAAGAAAAGAAGTAAAACGATCACATCATCGACAAAACCAGACCTAGTGATCATCGCTTGTGGTTGGAAACTCGATCATACCTGCTTTTCGACGGCGATGAGGTGCTCTTGGGCATCGATGCCCTTCTGCGATCGGAACTTTCTCAGGTTCGACTTCGCCTCCGGGTTGAGCTGATCATCATCAAACCCATTCGGAGGGAACGAAACCAGGGCCAAACAAGACGCGAAAGGGCGGTGAGAGTTACTTCGAGATGGTTCATTGCAACAAGAAGAAGCAACAAAGAACAGTTGAAGACGGTATTTCGAGAAGGTCCATCGCAAAAAATAAGAAGAGAAAAATGACGATCAGAAATGATACTTCGAGCAGGTCCATCGCAACAACAAGAAGCAAAAAACGTTCGGTGAGGGTTATTTCGAGACCGACCATCGCACCTCATGAGCTCATCATCGAACGCCATTCGGGACAACCGAACCAGGGCCAAAACAAGAAAGAAGACTGAAAATACGGACGGCCAGAGTCCTTGCCAGTCTGGCGGACCACCGACACTCGTGGGAAGGAAACAAAATCAGTCACACGCAAAAACGATCGTCGTCGGCATCACGAACTGAGGCCCCGAAGAATGGAATGACCCATGGGGTATCACGAGTGAGCGACGAGGGAAGGTATGCGTGTGCTTGGTGTCGTAAATACTGTACTCTGTTCTGTAGCATCGATCGGCGTGAGTCCGTGTGTGTTTCGTCCAGTTTATTCTGGCGCCAAGTCGGTACATATTGACCCCATCAGCCTGGCCAACAAATACAAGACCAGACCCTAGCCACGCTTCATCTTGTTTGTACACTACATGCATGCACCTCTCCCTGTGACAACTCCGACCGAGAGGGGCAACACAACACCAAAGACTTGACCGAAGCTTCATCTTGAGCGGTATCCACCGTGCCACATTCTTGTGGTCCCAAAATTTTATACCTCGAAGTAGCACTATATCCTCTTGCCAGTTGTGACCGAGAGCGACAACGCAAAACCAATCCGTAACCCGTGCTTCATGTCTGATATTTGGATAAGTCCTCTTGTCGTGCACATGCATACCTCTCCCTTTGCCAGCTCTTTCCGCAGCAACGCCTCGTACTTGAGGAAATTCTCCGAAAGGTCCTTGGGGGCGACGCCTTCTCTAAATCCTGCTTGGAACTCCTTGTGAGTCCAGTTGTTTTCCTTGAGTCTCTCAAAGTGCTCCGCCATCGAGATGCCGTGACCCTCGCGGTACCTTGGAAAGCGCGGTAGCCATCGCAAAGAGTACCAATAGAGAGGGAGAGGGAGAGAGGGAGCGAGAGCCAAGTACAGAGTAGAGGGAGAGAGAGGAGAACAAGAGAGGGACAGAGAGGGACAGAGAGGGACAGAGACGATGAGCAATGAAATCGAAGTCACAAAGTGGAGCCTCTATTCCCACGGCCGAACGCGTTATCGTTACACAAGCTCAAGACCAACAACGACCTTGACAGAAGGGAAAAAAACATAGAAAACCATCGACAAATAGCCCGGCCACAACCCTGACCGTTCTTTCACGCTTGTAGCGAGGCCGCCAATCAAAGTAACCAAGAGTTTGTTTGCCCATCAACTGCTGTCAAAGAAAACCGATTACCCGAAGCGGTGGCCGACCATAACACCAACACCAACTCAAAAAAAAAGACAGAATAAATACAAACTAAACAATCAAGGCTGGACTAGGGAGGGCCGGACCATGGATGGGCTGTCGTTGGCAAGAGACACAGAAGCGTCGAGGTTCTCGCCAACTCTCAAAAGGCACTTTGTGAGTGAGGCCCTGGCAACAGCGCGGTTGGCTCAGTTGTACACGGTGGTGTCAACATACACAGCAACTCGCCGCGACGAACATCCAAAAATAAAAACACTTCACCGTTGAAACGCACCATCGCAACGAAAATACTAGTATTAGGGTTTTTAATTCAGTTTTGGGAACGCAACTCTGAAAAAGAATAAAACATGTGAGATTGAGTGTTGGTGAAATTTGGTTTTGGTATCTCTACACTTGCAGTATTGGAGACGCAATGCATGGAAGAAAATGACGAGCCCGCTCGATGGGGTGTCAAGAGAAAATATAAACGCGTCAACGACGACAAAGCTCTCTCTTTCTGTAATGCCTCCCATTGCATCATGGCAAACAACAACTATCCACATGGGTACACCGAACCAACGTTCTTCTTCCTTCATCTCTGTATTGTGAATGCTACGGGTTGCAACTCCCCCGAAACTACAATGATGTCCGAGAACCCCCGAGTCTGGGTGCCAAACCCTTTGGCTTCACGTTTCGTTCCTTAACAGCAATATTGTAATATAAATAGCTTCCTTATCGCTTCACTACCTCCAATCGAACGTACAGTACAAGCACCGACAAGCATAACAAAACTATCCTGCCGTCCTTTCATCCCTTCACTCACCTCTGCAAGTTCTTCCTCTCCGTGGAGGTGACCCGTCCTCCGTCCAACGTCTCGGCGAGCAGCTGCCGGTAGTGCTCCTTGTGATCCCGCGACTGCACCACCTTGTTCACCAGGTCAACCGATATCGCCTTCTGGAGACACGCACCGATCATGGGCCGGCGCTTGATGAACTCTCGCAGAGCGTGCTGGTCCCAGACGTACACCACCACCTGAAGACCCACGGTGAGAGGTGAGAGTGCGCCAAAACACTTCAAGGGAGGGAACCGTAACGGTACGTACCATCATACACCGATGGGCGTGAGGGCAAGGCCTGGCCAACTGGCGGCACCAGCAGGGTAGAGCGGTACCGTCTCCACGCAAGACAGAACCCCCCCCACGAAAGATAGCACCCCCTCTAAAATACCACACCAAGGTGGCAATCATTCTGCGGCTCGTCATGAGCCCCTCCCCAAAACGTATCAGGCCAAGAAATACGGTGACGTAAGGTACCACACAACTCCCACAGAACACCACCCACGGCCAAACGAGCCACATTCAGGGGGGGGGGGGTTATCTTGTGTGAAATACTCACGTCGGAAGAAGCGGTTACGGTGGTGGTGGACCGCTCCAGCGCCGACTTCTCCTGCCGCTTGCTCTTCTGGTCTCCCACGATCGACTGCGTCACCTCGCCGACAACGGAGCCCTGCTTCCGCAGCTGCGCCAGGATGGCCTGCCAAGCCTTCCGGAACATGCCTCCGTCGTTGTAGACGTAGTGGCCCTCGCGGTCCGAGTGAGGGTTGGCGGTCGTCTTCTTGATGAAGCGGTTGAAGGCCATCGACCCGACGAATCCCCCCGACTGCAAGTGGGACACCGCCACGCCTTCCGACCTTACCTGTTCGCGCCAAAAGAGAGAACAAAAAAAAACGCCACAAAACAGGAGGAAAGGTTGGGGCTTGATAAAAAAAAAAGTCGTGCGTTCCCTCTTTGTGACCCCGGGTGATATACGTCAAACAAATACACCAAACGCGTGCAGACTATCACCAGACGAACACCCAAAAAACACAAACACACACACAAACACACGAATACAACCGCTCCCGTGAGTATTTGGGGGCATTCCCCACTCAGATCAGACATGCCAGCCAAGCTCTTCAAACATGTCCTCAAAATCCGCGTGGGCTTCGGCCCTACATATATTAGCCCGCCATTATCACAATGCTCACGACCCGTAAGGATGGGTATCTTTCACGGCTCAAATGCAAAACCAGCCGTGTCAAATCAAGGTATGCACCGCAACACTCCGGTGCTCTAGCCGTACCCCCCCTCCCCCCCCCCTCTTCCTGTTGTGCGGGTTCCTTACCGCACGGTGAGGCCAACCGAACTCCCGTTCGGCGTGTGCACGAGACAGAGAGAGAGAGAATAGCGCACCAAGATGCTAACGGTCAGTGTGCTGCCTTCACAATCCCCTCCCTGTCTCCCTCCTCAGCGACACTCGTTACGGTCACGCCTTCGAAAACCACAAAACCACAGGCACACACCTCGGCCTGACCCTCGACGATGAGGAACACTTCCTCGTGTGGTCTCCCCTCCTGGATGAGATCGTTACCCTTGAGCATCACGCGGCGCTCCGCGGCGTCCATTAGCCGCAAGAAGTGTACGGGGCTGAGCTGGACCCTCTCGAAGATCTCTCGGAATATCCGCGCCTGCGTCCCAAGAGTCACGGGGTTTCGATTTGAGGAGGTGGCGTTAAACTCGTTGCGCGGTTAGCTACACGACGTCAGGAGTTGGGACGAAAAGTGGGATGATCCAACCACCACTGAGGCAGGCGGAACTGCGCATGACGAACATGCGCCATCAGGGGTTCTGACGCGGCGCTTCTTTGTGCGAAGCTCACAGAAGCCTTGTTGTCCAGCAGTACCCTATCAAACGGACCTGGGACTCACCACGCCCCCAGCTACAGCACAACACCGACAATCACCGGCCCCAGTTTCCTCCCGGGGCATTCCACGAGGATTTGTGAAAACCCGAACCGGACCCCAACCATTCCCCACTACCCGCCTGGGAAGGGCCGCCACCCTCCCACAACCCACAGCTCACACAGCGGAGCAGCATCCTCGCATCGTACGTATGCAATACATGGACCGTTCTAGCCCATCATACATGGGTCTCAACACCTCGCTCGTGTTCAACCACCACCACCACCACCACCAACGCCGCCGCCGCCGCCGCCGCCGCCGCCGCCGGGTGTGTGTGTGTTTCAGAGCACAGCCACACACCCCTCTCCGGCCAATGGTGGTGGTAGTGGCAGTCGCGCCCGTCCGCCCACGCCCTCGAGCGGGGCGCGCCCAAAACACCCCGGTGGACCGCCAGCTCGCCTACAAGTGCCCTCTCGCGAGGGCTGCAACACCCCCCTCTCTATTCAGGACGAAAAACACCCGGAAGGACTGCGCCGATTTACAGCAATACCCGCCCTATTGCCTTTCTTCGAACCGAGGGTGTTGTGGACGACCAAAAATTAGAAGATAACAAACAATGTTTGGTCGTCCACGACACTCGACGGTCGAGAAACCGCGACAGGCCGGGGTACTGCAATCGGCACGATCCTTACGTACGTACGTTATCCTTCCTTGGAATAGCGGGGTGTTGCAGCCCTCGCGAGGGGGCCATCGTAGGCGAGCTCGCAGCCCGCCGGGATGTTTTCGCCGCTCGCGGGCGTCGACGGATGCGATACGCCACTGCGCACGCCCAAGCATCGCCAGCCATCCGTGGCACGAGCAACCGACGCCTCAAGAATCGCCCGTCACTGGCTCTATTTCATGGTGAACGCGTTCAGCGCAAAGAGAGCTCGCTCACCGAACCAATGGTCGGAAATAATGCTTAACTGAGCATGTGGTATTAATAAGGGGAAAAATTTGCACTTTGCCAAGTTTCAAATCCTTTCGAGCCTGATCTGAACAGCCTGGTTTGTACATATGAGTGGTATGGCGCGGTCAATGCTCATACAGTAACGCTCGGGTTTTGCAGCATGTGCTATGTGCGCTGACTTGGGCCACCTCCGTGGCCCCCTCCGTGACCCCTTTTGTCAGTCGGGGGTTAGGAACCCCCCCCCCCCCCCCCGTCAATCAAGAAACATCCCGGCAACGAAATAGAAGGTAAGGTTGTCACCAAAAACTAGTCAAAGAGGTTCTAAAGAAACACAGGTACTGTAGCTCAGAGGGTGGTTGATTCGATCTACACAAAAAAACATTGAATGACAATTAATGCTCAGGGTGGAAACGAAATACCATTACCATGGTACTTCGAAAGAAGGTGTGGCTCGAGCCGTGGTTGACGCTTCTTTGTATTGCGGGACTGCCCTGTGGTACCGTACCGTATTATTTGCTCGCCTGTTCGGGGTCCTTTCCAAGTTCCTCCGCCTCCTGCCTCTCCCTCAGCAGGAACAAGACCATTATGGTGTTGAGCAAAAGGAAGCCAGCGTTCCACTTGATGGGGATCCACACGGGGGGGCCCACAACGCGGAACAGGTTGAACATGACGTTCAGGGTGGATCCACAGGCCACCAGGTAACTGCAGGGAAATAAATATATCCGTAGGAACAGACGGCGGTGTTGACGTCATGGTGGAGGCCAGCACGGCGAAGGGTAACGTTCGACCTGACATTTTTTCTCGGAAAAAAAATGTAAACGATTCTTCTGGTGGCGCCACAAGCGCCCCCCAGTATCTGAGGCTAGCAAAAACAGTACCTCTGTTACGAAACCACAACATCAACCTTGCTCATCCGTGTCGTGTGCGGAGGCTCGTGGTGCAGAAAGGAATGAACGTAACCCACCCATGAGTTGTTAATGTTAATGTGATCTGTAGCCTCTCTTGTGTACCGCGGTATCTCTCTTCGGCTGCATGTCTGCTGTGCACACGAATGTACGTACCATACGTAGATGAGAGCAACGTTTTCTAATCATGTTCGTGAATTGCGTCGATTCTACATCGTATCATAGATGAGAGAAAGGATTTCTAAAGATGTCCAGCGATATCCATGACATGACATCAAGCCTACAAACGGCGTCCAGCAAAATCCATTAGTAGATACCTCGCAGGGGCATCACCCTCTAAATGCCCAAGAATCTAAGGCACGCAAAGGGGAAGGAGAGGCGGAGAATTTCCTCCTGTCTGTGTGATCTTCGGCATGTATGCACCCAGATGGATGCGTGTACTCATAGCCGTGCATGCCGTAGTCGTTAGATCATTGGCTTCGCATCCCTACAAAGCCGGGACGGAGCACGGGGGGTTTTCACCGGACCAGGCCAGCACTTCACCAACAAGAATCTCGTCATGGCATTGCACGTCGTGGATGGTCATGATTGGATCGCCATGTGCCGCCGCCGTACGTTTTGTCAAGAACCAATTTCACCTTGTCGGAGAGAGAGACACACACTCAAACGATCATCACGGGGCCGGCTATCGTAACGTGTGCACCATACGATTTCCCGATTTCTATTTCCGGGTGATGCTGGCGGTTGTACCATGAGACTCGCCGGCCACATGGAGGGGCGTGTAAATACCATGGCAATACCGTATATGACACAAGATAACACACCCCCTGGCCCGATTTTCAAAGCTTGATTACTCGATGACGAAGAGGATACATAAACGAAATGATACATTTTCGAAAAGATCTCAACGAGACGGTTCCAACGCCGCCGTTTTCGGCGCTGTGAGTCTTCCTGCTGTTGAGAAATCGAGCTTTGAAAAACGGTCAAGGGGGTGTGTTATCTTGTGTCATATACGGTAGTCATTTAGACGAGCGAGCCAGACCCTTCCAACGTGATTCCTTTGTGACTATGAGTACCAACCATATACATAAAAAAAAATGCCACAGGACATGGTATATACCCGGGAAACGGTCAATCAAGTAGAGCAACATGCGACTTGTGAAAGGGAAGAGTATTTAATTCTTTCTACAACGACGGTCGTGGAGAGAGGGTTCGTAGGAGCGTCAGGAAGTGGTCTAGTGGCATGGGGCGCGAAAGTACGTTCCTGGTATGCCGTTAGCTAAGAAAAAGGTCGTCAAGAACAAGAGCCTCAAATCAAATGTCCACGGAAAGAAAGTGGATCATGAAATCATGACAGCAACACAGCACCGCCGAGGATACCACGGAGTACATATTCCTTAAGCCGAAACCCTACTACTAGTGTACAAGTGAAGTACTCGATGGTGGTGATGAAATACGCGGGTGTCGGTGATCTGTGCAATTAGGTCGTCTGTGTCACACGCGTACATATGCTATGCTACTAACTTCAATGCTGAGTCGGGTGATGTGTTTTGTACGCCAATGCCCACCCGCTTGTAACGAACAGAAATACTTCTGCATACATAGCATGTTCGTAAGAAGCCGAGGCTCAAAGTTTGGACAAACATGAGGAAAATGCCCGCTGCCCTAAGAAATTCAGCACAGCGGCCGGCGCTGCATTAATTCCTGTTTCTATATACGGAGTACAGGTCTTTTTTTCTCTGTGGTGGGGACCAAATAAGGTTTGAGCCTCGCTCAAAAATAGGTGTATCTCATGAGCGGGCCGGCACTGTAGTGTTTCGCCCCCTGTAATAGGTCATGCGCGTAGAAAAGAGCATCGACCTTTTCTTTCTTTCTGTCAGCCCTTTTAAACCGGGGTCGATCGTGTCCCGGTTAGTTCTCTGTAAGCTGTACAGCTGCTGTACAATACTTGTCGCCCAGACCCCGCGATTGCGCCGACGATTCGCTCCCTCTACTCTCTGTCCTCCTTACTCCCGTAAAATACGGTTGTTGCGCACATGGAGATACCGTCCGTTGTATATTGCCAATGAGTCACGTGTGCTTCTGTGTTGGCCCTTTTTTTTTATATGTACAAGTATGAATGTATTGGAAACGACGAATCCTCTTTCGTGCCTCTCTTTTGGTCTGTCTTCCGCTCGGTATGATTTTTTCTCTCACGCCAGAAACACCCACGCGATATTTTTGCACACACAGGAACAATCGGGGAAACTGACTTCCCTGCTGCTGCTGCTGCTGCTGCTGCTGCACCGTCATACCCGTCCTCTTGTCTCCGTTTCCCATGCACAAAATCAAAGTAGACTACAACCACAACCATGTAGGGGCACGTTAGCGTCATGACTCAAAGCGGTAAATTTTCACGGCTTCCACACTAGCTGGCATCTAGAGGCGTCGCTGCCATGCACAACACCTTCACGGCGGGATGGCAACCGCTGCTGCTGTTTCTGCAGCCTGGCCGCTGCCCTCTGCTGCTGCTGCTGTTTGTGTTGAAGAGGCACGGACTTACGCACATCAAAGCTCTTTTACTCCTCTCCCGCATGCCATGAACCGATACTTGGGACTTGAAGGGGCGAGTTTAGCTCCATGCTCAAACCCGCATCAAACAAGCGCTGCTAACAAATGCTAGGATACTCAGCTATAATAAATGTTCAGCAGTGGTCAGCCGGCAAAGCAGTAACCCCAGAGCGACGTGCGTGCACATGAGGAGATCTGGAAAACGCAGCAACAGCACATGAGCAGCAACCAGCAGATGTGCAGCAAAGCAGCAGTCGCGTGGACGCAACAAGCGGTAACACTCCGCATCTTCTTGGGCACACCTGGTGCACACACACCAATCTCTCTCACCGTAGCTTGAGCACGTCCGTCTCGAGATAGGCAAGCGTGAGGATAGCAAAGCTGAGGTGTCCGCAAAGAGCCCCCGCGTTGGTCACCGTGTCCAGCGCCTCCACGCCAAGCCACCTCATGGGCCGTCGCTCCTTGATCATGATCGGATGCACCTTGTCCATGAGGGGCTGCAACGGGCCAGGCACCCTCGGTACCATGGTCACCAAAGGCTTGGACACCATAGAGCTGGCAGTTATTGCCCTACCCCCTGCGAGGCGTGGAGGAGCCCTGGCCTTCGATACGAGTGCGCGCGAGGAGGCAGGGCTCACCCCAGCTGCTGCCACAAATCTGCCGCCCTCTGCCCGGCCGTCAACGATAGCAGCAGCTCTTGCTTTCGGCCCAACATGCCGCCGCTGGTGCTGTCGCGCAAGGCGACAAGCCGTCCGTCCCGAAGACAACCTCGCAACGCTTATCATGTGTACGCAGGTTCGCTGAGGCCACTGCTACCCCCTGACTCACTCACGGCGACACACACCACCACACGCTTTCTCGTCCTACGTGCTACGTGCTACAGAGTATATGTCGCGTAGTTGAGAATTAAATCTTCAAGAACCGCCAGCAGCAGCAATCGAGGGGGGTCCACAGAGAGAACATAAAGGCGGGGGGGGGCGGGTATTCACTCTGGATGCCTCGGCCAGCAGAGCGGCAGGTTCGGGTGATTTGGTTGCGTTTACGCTTCTCTCCTGTCCGCAAGCGCTCTCGTCGTTCCGTGCTGATCGTAGCGCGTGTCTCGATTGCGATCGTGCACCACTGTACTGCTCGAAACAAAGCTTTCGAGGCGAGAGAAACGGAGAGCAAGTGTATTTCAGCAGTTCCTTTTGGCGTATAGACAGAGACGGGAACAGCATGGCGACCACACTAGCACGAGCAGTGCAACGGACTACAACTGCGGCACCTTTGGCCTTGACGCACAAGGTGAGGCTGGCTGATACATCGCCGAACAATTGAATTTGTGTCTCTGGATTTACACTGCCATATTTTCTGCCCAGGCACAGCAGCAGTTTCGGACCATGTATCTGCACAACAGCCGTATCGGGCTTTTCCTGTTGCACCGCCGGTTGATGGAAGTTCCTTGAAACGTCGCATCATCCACCACCGTGACACCTTTACCTTTGCCTTTCGCCAGCACTTGACAGCGTGATACCTCTGCAACATACATATCTTTCTCACCCTTGGCATTGTTGTTGGCCAACCCGGTGTGCCGGCCGAAATGTTCTTCGAGCACTACCGCTGCAATGCCACATGCTTTTGACCATACGTCAACTTGCACAGGCCTCGATCGTTTCGGCAGCAACTTAAATAGTATCTCGGCCACCTCTGCAACCATTTGGCAGTGGTGGTATTGTACAGATAGTGTAGCAGACGTGTGGGGTTGTCACCATACTGCCGGACGTAGGCGCACGTCCTGCTCGGCAAACCCTTGGCCTCGACCTCAGCAACGATAAGAAGCGGTGCTTCGACCGTGCGGACAACCGGGGCTAAGTTGGTTGACAGGCTCCTGTTCAACTCCCAGCCGTGGCGTTTGGAAAGCACCAAGAGCCTTGATACAGCAGTAGCGCACAGCTGTTGAAGGTTGCAGCAAGTCATCCGCCAGCTGCCGGCCTACCCAAATCTCTGCGTAGTCTATTTGTGAAGCCCGATACCCTCGGTCGACCTGGCTCAATCCCTATTTATTAGTAGCCTGGTTAGGTGTGCAACTTTCTGCGGTTGACTACAAGTACCCCTCTGGGTGCAGCCAGGCATAATCTTATCTTTGCTTTGCTTCGCCTTGGTTCTTCGTGCCACCATCACACAGCAGTCTTGGGAGAATGATGCTAAGGGGTCTTGGACTGCCATCCAGTAAACTACTTGTAGCGCAAGGTCCATAGACTACTGAAGTTTCCATCAGGTGTTCGCATGTATAAGTACCAGAAAAGGTGAAGGGCGGCGTATGTCCTGCGTACGTAGCTTTGACCAGACTCGTCACTGTTGGTTAAAGCGATGATATTTCTCAACTATACCTTTCCATCGTACCCTGAGCGTGCTCTCGTACACAATAAATCCAAGGCCGCCGTATGCCCAGGTTCTGCTGTGAACCCCAAGCTTACGCTTTGCCTCTATTTCCGCGGGGGTGGGAACACTTCAAGTACCACTGCTTTGAACCTTGGCCTTCCTCATGTGTGACACTGACTGGTGCTTCCAGAACTCTACCGAAAAAAGGTGCAAGGACCGACGCCGAGACTAAATGTGACGACAAACAGAGAAAAAACCCGACCGCTGACGAAAACCTATTTTTTTTCGCACCCCAATGATTTTTGCAACACTTTTAGGGCCGGCCCTTGGTGGCAGCGGTGGGCTCACACGCCTTGAGCAGAAGCAGCTCCTCTAGTGCCTCTGACAAGGAGAAGGAGTCGTACACGGCACGGCAGGCGAGGACGGGTAGGCCGGTGTCGCCCCACGTGACCATCTATGACTTCCCCCCGGCGGCGCTCTCGTCCATCGCGAACCGCGTTACTGGGGTCGCTCTCGTGGCCGGTAAGTTTTTGAGGTAGCAGCGGCAGCGGCGGCAGCGGCAGCAGCAGCAGCAACAACAGCAGTACATAGCACAATGTAGCCTTCGCGCGCATAGTAAGCTTGGTTTCAGAAGGGGGTGCGGGTTGGGGTTAGGGCTAGGAATGGGGATATGAACCCCCTGCCTATTTTATATTTATTAATAAGAATTCCTCGCGAAGGCGGTTCACTAGCAGCAGCAGTAGTAGCAGCGGCAGCAGCACAACGCCAGTGACACTTGAAAGAATACCCACGATGGAAGCATGAAGAGGTGGTGTTACGTGCATAGCCGGCGGGCGTCGAAGGGACGTATTGTCCGGGTAAATGCCTTTTTTGGAGTGAAGCCCACGCCTTTGTCGGTTCACGAAAGCACGGCCGTGAACGTCATGCCTTCGACTAATGGACGGCGTGAGAGAAGTCGCACTACAACTCAAGTTGCTGCTGGTTTTCCAAGTAGCGGGATGGGACACACGCCCTCCCGGCGGCTCCATCAACGTCGGAGTACAGTATCCAAACAAGCGTTTTTTTTCTGGGAACCGAGAATAAACGCATACGGCTCCCGCTTGTTTTTTGCAAGGGTAGGGCAAGCGATCGTGGCGAGGGATGGAGTGGTACGCATTATCAAGTTTTCCAAGACTAATGCAACCACCCGGGACGCGTTCATTCATTCCCGATGATGTATTGTATCTACACCTGGCCACCCTTACCCCCCACCCCTGACCTACGGAGGTATAGATGTCCCGAATGGAGGAAGAGAATCTGCGTGCATGTGTCATTTTCTCGTTTTGGAGAATGTCTTGACGGGAGCGATTCACGTCGCCTCTGGATCCTCCCAGTAGCAGCGATGACGCTCCTCCTACAAGGCCATGCGTGGTCAATGATCCAAACCACTACGGCAAGCACCACAAGTACCCCCCCACACACACAAACACACACCCTCTGCGTGCCCCCCAGGGCTGTACGGAATCTCTGGAGCTACCCTCGTTGGATGCGATGCCGCCGGCCTCATGAGCGCTCTAGGCTCTTCAGGGGTTGGTCCAGCGGTGAAGCTGGCGGTGTCGTTCCCGCTAGTGTACCACTACCTCGGGGCCGTAAGGCACACGGTGAGCGAGCGAGCCTGAGCCTGTTGGCGGGGACGTTGGCGTAGGTTCTTCGTCCTTGCCGACGCGCGCGCTTCGTTGAGCTTGCGGCTGTTGCTGTTTCCGTTGTCGTTGTTGTTGTTGTTGCTGCTGCTGCTGCTGCTGCTGTTGCTGCTGTTGTTGATGTTATATTGTTGTTTTCTTCGGGGTGGACAAGTTCCAACCATCAATCTAGGTCATGGTCAGATGCGATGGCGAGTTGCGCAATTGCCCAAGCACAGTAAGCACGCCCCTACTGTACCATGTGTCAAATTGACGAGTCCTGTGCGTCAAGGTAAGGGTCAGTACCATCAGCGATACTACAACTATCGCTTGGGTAGCATGGGTTCGAAAGGGTCCAGGTAGCCAATGTCCCTCTGTTACGACCGAAAATGTTCGAGGGGCCACCTACAGACCGGCGTACCGTAGGTAACATGGCGTAAGATACCACACACCCTGGATCGATTTTTATGGCTCCATTGCTCCACGGCGAAGTGGATGCACGACCCAAACAATCCGCTTTCGGAAAGCTATCGACGAGATGGTTCCAACGCAGCAACTCTCGGCACCGCCACTCTTTCTGCTGTAAAAAAATCGAGGTTTGAAAATCGGTCCAGGGGGTGTGGTATCTTGTGTCACCTACGGTGTACCAGTAGCCGCAGCTTGATCTCTCCGCGACCCCTATCTTGCCCTATGGTTGCTAGACACGGGCACCTAGCGGCTCCTACCGGTATTGTTTGGGCGATCCTACCGACTCTGTTATTTTAGTGAACAATGAGAGGTGCTATTGCCCAAGGCTTCGCATATCGCTTCGATTTTGTTTTTTTGCACTACCCTAGGTGACATGAGGTATCACGCCCCCTGAACCGATTTTAAAAGCTTGACTCCCCAGCAGAAAGAGCGACAGTTATGGCGGCGTTAGGACCGCCTCGTGGACAACTTTCCGAGAACACGTCATGGTTTGATTTGTGGGTTTTCTTCGTCGTTGATAAATCCAGCTTGGCAATTGAATCCGGGTGTGTGATAGCTTCTCTCAAGAACGGTAATGCGACCCTAGCTTCTCCCTTTCCCTCCCGTGAATCGCAAAATGCATTGGCGGATGTGGTACCCTACCGTTTATTGACTACATGTCATATTGGTGCAACGAAGCCTTTGCGTGTGCATTTTCGATCGTCGTCACCGATGTGCCCTGTCCATGCAATTTTGATGGGAATGCTAATCCTCCCCCAACAGGTGTGGGATTACATGCCGGAAACTCTGCAGACGGCCGGCGTGGCCAAGACTAGCTATGCACTGCTTGGCGTCTCCGGAGCCGTTAGCCTTGGTCTGGCAGCGGTGTAACTCCCAGCAGCAACAGTCTGTACCCACCCGTGTATAGACATTTTTTCAAGGGTTATCAAATCGTCGTATGCATACTTGCCATGGCTGTCTTTCTGCAGAAAGTCAATTTTTTGTACAGTATAATACCTGTAGTGTGTTTGAAGGATAAAGATGGTGGTGTCGTTTTGTAGCGAGGGGCACGAAAGGGGTTCATCCTGCGAGGATGCTCGTGTGCACGTGTGTGCTTGCACGTGTGCACGTGTGCTTGGCAAGGAAGCTGTCTGTTGGGTAGCGCGTTGTGTCGCTGGCCAGGCTAGTGGTTGCGGGGTCAAGAGCCGTCCTCGTAGTTACTGTCGTTGCTGATGTGCAAGTCGAGTCGTGGCCTGCGTGACAGGATCTAGCCGCTTGATGACCGCAATAGGACCGCCAATATTCGCGACGGCTACGGGAGCGCGGCTCTGTAGAGGCCGCGGCAGGTGTACTACATAGATAGGGCGGGACGCATTGCTGCCGGATGGGTTGCGCACATCTGTAGCACACGGCGGAACCGGGAATGGCCGTTGAATGATGGCTCCAAGACAGCAAAGCAGAGCAAAAATTTTGGTTTGATCCAGAGACCCATGGTGATTTTTGTTTGACTGCACCGGGGCCTCTCCTCCTGCCACCTTCTCCAACGACCCCTGTTACCGTCTGCAAATCGCGAAAGACCGCTTGCTTTGAAGGACATGAGATGAAATCAGCGGTGCGGGAACAATCTTGAGAACGGCGATGCCAATTGTCCGTTTCTGTTCGCTGCCAAACACATACGCGGTTCGTCCCCACAAGTGGAGTGGATTGGGTTGGCTTTCTCTTCCCAAGTATGCGGAAGTCCCGTTTAACGGAGCTAGAACAATGGGTGGCGTGGAAAACATTGCGAGAGCAATCGACCGCCGCTCGACAAGCTTGAAGGGTCGATGCACAAGAGCAAACGCCGTCTGTGCCTTCGACAATACGTCGGGGTCGTTGCTGGTTTACGAGGTGAATCGACACACTCACTCTTGGTTCTTTGGGGCACGATGCTCTCTCTCCGTCAACCGTCGATACCCATAGGTCAGCCCCTGCCTATACTGTCTTCCTTGCGCATCACGCTCGAAATTACAAAAGTAACACGAGCAACCATCGCCGCTGCAAGGGCTTGCAGCCGCCTCGCCACCCAACACGACCGGCAAGCGCTCAACTAAACGCGTACCCCGACCCCCCCCCATCCCTCTCCCATTGGTGATCATTCCTGTGGGAACAATGCTCCGTCCTCTCGAGGACGCGTGGTCAATGGTCTCCTGTGACAACCAAGGCATGGAAAACATGAGCACGCCCCCCCGTCCTCCCCGGCTACATCGGGGTCCTCGCAGACAGGTAACAGACATTTCCAAACACTTTCCAGCCTCGTGTCGCAGCTACAGAATACTGGTATATACAATGTGCTCGACCCCGCCTCTCTCCCCTTTTCTCTTACTGATTTTTTGTGCAGAAGAACTGCGCTCTTGGCGCCCTAGGTGTACAAGAACTTCCCAAAGAGGGCATAGCAAAGCCGTGCCCCTTGTCCATTTTGGTGCGCACATGAAAAACCCCGCAAACAAGTCCTGACCTGTTTAACGCCAGTTGGTGTCACATATGATACATACAAACGTTACCCCGAAAGTACAGGTGAAGACTGTCCGCTATACAGTGGGACGAAGCACACACCGCAAAAAAAGGATACTTGGCGCTAATTTTGTGAGCAGACAATCAACCTACGAGAATCAAACGGAGCACACCTGGGCATACGTACATGCCGTGCGCTCAACGAACATTGCACATAGTACACGCGCCGAAACACAGCCGTGCAATAGCACCTCACAAGCACAAACAACATCTATGTACAGCAGTTGTAGCGGTCCCTCGAACGGTGGCGCTGTTTCCACGCACGCCGGAGGCGTTCCCGACAACAAACAAATCCGAATCCCATCATACGTCGACAACGCCTCCCCCGATCCCTCCAAAAACGCGCGTCGTTATCCTTGCTCGAACATTTTTGTTCGTGACAGCACAACATCAACCAACCAATCGTGTACAGGTATTGAATTGCTACGGTACATGGCACACTCACACACGTCTGCACAGACAGACAGATCGGACGAGTCAAAGATTGTGTCAAAAAAACGATGGATGCAAACCCTGTTGTCTCCTCCACCACTGGCTGCAATCGAGGCCGCGTTCAGCCGACACGACGTGGCAGCGCCGCAAAGCATTTCGTGCAATTCTCCTAAGTCGCGCTACACGCGGTCCCACCGCTCCCCCCTTTGTTTGCATGTTGCAAACCGAGCATCCTTTTGTACATGCCAAAACCCAAACTCCACAACACGTTCAACCGTTGTGATACTCGTCCTTCCAACAGCAGATCTTACTCCTACCTTTGAGGTTTTTCAGTTGAAAGGAAGAGGGATTCCTCTCGAGGCGTTGTAAGCCAACCCCAACCCATCGATCTTCGAAACATAGCCTACAACAAAGAGACAAACTGGCGTTCGTGCTAAAGCCGTGCCTGCCGATCGCCCGCTTTCCCGGCTCTCGGGGCTGACAGCGAACAATACTTCAACCCCACGCTAAAACGTAGTGACAAGCTGCGGGGCAGACAAAAACGCACCCGAAAAAACGTCGCGAACCAGAAGCTAGCTGTCATTCCCGTAGAACTCGCCCGGAATATCGCTGGGTGAAGCCCGTCGAACTGAGCCGTATGGAAGGGAGAGGGAGAACACGCGCTACAGTAGGTCGGCCGCCTACTCTACGCGACAACTCTCGTCCACTGCAATGCACACCACAACAACAAAACGTCGAGTGTTTCCTTGGCCCACTCACGGCATACAGAGCGTATTATTTACACACACAGCATCAACAATATCAATCCCCGGTTGATCCTTTCTCCGCTCAACAGAGCAGCACGGGTGCGATGTCATCATCGGATGCATCCAAGGCTCTCGCCCTATACACAACCTTCGACACGTGCTCCCAAGAGTCAAATTGACTACAGCAGCAGAACAGACGCCCCCACCCCCCCCCCTGT